ACACTGTCATTACCCACGTGGGCATTGAAGTCCTCCAGCAGAATAAAGGAGTCCCCATCCAGTGCACCTTCTAGCACCCCTGCCAAGTACTCTAAGAAGGCCAGATACTCTGAACTGCCATTCGGTGCATAGGCATAGACAACAGTCAGAACCCGTCCCCCCCACCCAAAGGCAAAGGGAAGCCACCCTCTCATCTACCGGGGAAAACTCAAACACACAGGCACCAAGTCGGGGGGCTACAAGTAGACCCACAACAGCGCGATGCCTCTCACCATGGGCAACTCCAGAGTGGAATAAAGTCCAGCCCCTCTCAAGGAGATTGGTTCCAGAGCCCATGCTGTGCGTTGAGGTGAGCCCAACTATATCTAGTCGGTACTTCTCAACCTCACGCACAAGCTCAGGCTCCTTCTCTACCAGAGAGGTAATGTTCCATGTCCCAAGAGCCAGCTTTGGTAAGCCAGGGTCAGAGCGCCAAGGTCCTTGCCTTCGGCCACTGCCTTCGGCCACTGCCCATGGCATCACTCACCTGACTTTTATGGCCTTTCCTGCAGGTGGTGGTGTTTCCACAGGAAGGTAAACCCATGCTGCTCCTTCAGGCTGAGCCCGACCGGGCCCCATGGGTACAGACCTGGTCACCAGGCGCTTGCCGACGAGGCCCTCCCACAGGCCTGGCTCCAGGGTGGGGCCCCGGTAACCTGCGTTGGGGCAAGCAACACCGAGTTCCTTGGTGTATCATGTTCATAAAAATCTTCGGAATCGCTCTTTGTCGGGCCTGTCACCAAGGACCAATCTGCCTTGGGAGACCCTACCACGGACAATTATAATTACCCCCGACAGCATAGCTCCTAGGATTATTCAGGCACACAAACTCCTCCACCATGATAAGGTGGCGATTCAATGAGAAGCACAATTGTGCTGTTTTTTTTGTTGTTGTTGTTGTAAAAACAGATGTTTAACAAATGTTAGGACTGGTTTAATCCACTTTGGAGTAAGCTGTTGGGGGAAGAATCAGTTTTGTGTTTCCTGTCAGAGATCTGATGGCAGAGGATCCTACACACAGACTCAGAAAAGTTTTTAAAATGTTGATTGAGTAAATAAACAGCTTCTAGTGTCTCAGGTCCAGGGGCAGGAACTGTATTTAAAATGATACAGAGGGGAAAGGTTAGTGTTTGACAGAATAACGAGAAGGTATCTGAATACAGACGGTCTGATGAAACACTAACCTTTCTTGTTGTAACGGGGTGCTCCAGCGGATACACAGAGCTGCAGAGACCAAGGGAAGTCCAGAGGCATAGTCGAGGATGAGCAGAGTTCATACACGGGATCCGAAGAGGAGACAGTACCGATAGGGAGAGGCAAAGGCGAAATCCAAAAACAGGCGTAGGTCGTAAACAAGGTCAGAAGGCTGAGGCACAAAAGGGACAGGCAAAAAGCGTGGTCGAGGGAAACAGGCATGGATCAAAATTAAAGAGCTGTGAACAAAGAGAGTACACTGGATAACTATGGCTGGAAGCAAGCAGTTGATCTGGCAACATAGTGGAGAAAGCAGGAAGTATGTATACACCCAGAAAAAGGTGGAAACCATCAGCAGCAATCAGAGAGAGAGAGGCGTGCCATGCAAAGAGGATGGTAGAAGCAGCAGAGGAAAAACCCAGGAGAGCTGAGAAGAAAAAGCCAAACAGTGAACAGAGTGATGAGAAAAGGAAAAAACAGAGCGTAAACTGTTACATTCCCTTGACTGATGAAGCCTTCTAGATCGAAGGCGAAACGTTTCAGCACAAAAAAAAGAAACTGTCCAGATGACCTGACTGAAAAATGTTGGATTGTATACCTGGATTATTGAGGATAGACTTTGCTGTTAGGACTCTATTATTTGATAACAAAATATATTTTATGTCATTAAACAACTTGTCAGGTTCTTCTCTTGTGAGCGCGTTCCCCTGGACCCCCCTGCCCAACCCCCCCCCCCCAAATGCATGCTCTTGCACTCTTTGCGACTTCTCTGCTGTTGCTGCTCTGAAAACCAAGTCCAGGTCCAGCTAAACATTGAGCAGGAGCTGAGAGTTGGAGGTTCATGTTTCAAACTGTTTCAAAAATCTGTGCACTGCAAAATGTGCTCATTGTAGCCATTAAACCAGACTTCCTCATTTTAATTAATAAAAAATTCAGCGCAAATTGTTTTATTTATTTTTGTTTTATAGGTCAAAGTGTTGTAACACCATCCACCCATCCATTTTCTTCTGTTTATCCGGGGTCGGATGCTGCTTAAGTAGGGAGGCCCAGACTTCCCTCTCCCCAGCCACTTGGGCCAGCTCCTCCAGGGGAATCCCGAGGTGTTCCCAGGCCAGCCGATAATTTATTATTATTTATTGAATGGATTTAATTAGATTTTTCAGTATCAAATGGTCAAAAATGTTTGCAGTTTAAATAAGGATAGATTTTTTTTTTCAGGCAAATTGATGCACTTTAAGCCTTTTCTGTTACAGACTATAAAACAATGTTGATCATATTTGTTGTAAGTTTATATATTTCTTTCGTTTTTTATTTAATGTTAATAAGGATACAATGTTATGCAGAGGTGTACTTATAACAATTTTATAGAAAAAATATACTATTTACAGTCGCGGCGGAGAGTTGGGGGGGCCCGAAATGTTTACTTCTTCCGGGGAAGGGGGGCTAACAGAAAATAATTAAGAAGCACTGGGTTAAATGCAGAGAACTAATTTCACCATTGTATGGGAACATACAGTGATGACAACACACAGCACTTATTTCAACTTAATGGTGTTGTTTGTGGAACTGTGCATCTACATGTCCTTTAAAAAGATTTATTTGGGTTTCTATTTAACATCAACCGTAAAGTTTTTAGTATAAATGGACATATTTTCCTTTACAAGTGAAAATGCATTATTACAGTTTTGTTGAAAGTTCTGGTTTACTAAATGTTTTCTAGATTTTACTAGGATGTATTTTACTAGAATGAACAATATTTACAAGGATTAGATTCTTGAGTCAACTGCAGATTTGTGTTTGTTGTTTCTTCCTTAAAAACACAGAGATGGAAGAGCACAAAGCCGTTTATAGCTCCATCACATTTACATTGCTGATTCGGGGAAATATTTTCTCTGTGGACCAGTTGAAGATTTCATTTTTCTACATCACTGTAAATTGCTGTCATAAGACTTTTAGACTTTTATGTATTTAACTGCCCCTTTTCCAAAACCATAGAAGCACCACATTGGCAGTTTGTGTAACTTTGTCAATTATTCTATACAGTATTATGAAACATGAAAGACAGTGAAAACCCGTTTTATATAATATAAATACAAAAATACAATACCTTTGTGTTTACCATTGTCATCTCTTTTATTTAACAACTGAACTATAAATGTTACTTTAACTAAATCATTCAACAACATTTTCTCTGCTCGATAGATTAAAAAAGAAGTTCAACCCTTTAGAGTTTATTAGGATATTACAATAAAATCACATGCTGAGTTTGGTATAGACACTACTTGTACCACCTAAACTGATTTAACCTGTCAAGTCACAAACTCCACACGAGCTTTTAAGGGTGATGTCATCCCAGGACCCAGAAAGATAGCAGCAAATCCTTTAAATCCTGTGAGTTTTCAGGTGGGGCTTTTTGATATATTTCTTCTAGCAAATTCCACAGGAGATGGATTAGATCAAGATCTATGAACACTTAAAGCAAAATACAAATCTTGAACTTTTTGTGACGAACCATTGCTTTAAGGTGATGCAAGACACATTTACTTGTTGAAAACTAAGCATGTGTGATTCCTGACAATTTTTAGGAAGGAGGTGAAAATTGAGGTGACAATTAACTTATTATATGTGTTCTTATTCTATTTGACAACCAGCTTTTAAAAAATGAATGAGAACAAATGACAGAAACATGGTAGAACAAAAAAAGCTACTGTCACCCTGGACAGCATGTAACAAAAGCAAAGAGACATTTTAATTGTTGTCTTTATCTACAGAATGGTAGGTCAGACGTTTGCTCAGATACATTTGTCATATTTAAAACTGGGGAGTTTTGAGGCCAGGGAACTGGTCAAGGCAGTTTGTACTCTTCCTGTTAGCTTATTGTTGCACTATAGTTGTAGCATTTGTCTGTTGTCATTATTTAAGCTGGTGTGTGGTAGGATGGGAGCTTTGTCTCCTACTGAACACATGCAACGTGACAATGTTCCAGTGGAACATCACAATATAATGAGACTGAAAGGCATTACAACTACTGATTTACTGGCTTCAATGTTGTGAATTATCTATGATCCACTGTTGTCAGCATCTGCTTATTTATTTTTTCTCTAATTTTATCCTAAAGACTGACTTACATAAAGCCAATTTAGTGGTTCTGGACGTTTTCTCCTCCCTGGTGCCAGAAAGAAATGGGCACTAGTCTATATGGAAATGTGTTAATTGCCACAGAACTGACTTTAAAGTATGGTTTTAGGGACAAACAAACTCTTCCTTTGAGTCCAGATTTTGTCAAGCAGCGTGCGCATTTCTTCTTTTGCTCATAACAAACAAAAATATCTCAGAGGGCTTGTGGGGCAATTAAATATATCACTAAGTCCTAATTACCCACCGGGAATCTGCTTAAGCACAAAACAAAAGCCAGTCTGTGCGTCTGCATGTATCCTCATTAGGACATTATTCAGCAGATTGTTAAAAGCAATATAATTTTGAAAATGTGGATTAACAGCATTTCACATCTGCTGCTCATTCTTTTAATTTTCTCAATCATTGTATTATCCTGATGGGCCTTTTGGGGGGGTTACAACATTTTGCATTTTCAAACTGAAAACCATGGCTTTATCATCATATATGTATTATACCATCTTAGAAGTTGCTGCAAGTTTTCCAGTTTCTTGCTTTGAATTGATATTCATGCTGGATTTTTGTTCTATGTAAAACTGTGCCTTTGCTAAAAATAATAATAATTAACAAGAAATGTCTTCTGTGTTTTTCAGTCACTGAAAGGGGATGAGTCAGTGGCCAAGAAGGATGTGCAGAGGATTCTGGAGCTCAGCCATAAACAGAGGTAAAGTGGGGCATCATGCATGAGTAAGAGTTGACTAAAGGGTCACTCTTTTCATGAATCTCATAAAAATGTTAGGATCCTGAAACCAGCTGTAGAGGAATCAAATAATATTTAAACTTAGATTTCACATTAATACAAACATCAGTTGTTATAATTGTTTTGAAATCAGGAACCAGAGAGTTTAAAATGAGCCCTAACAAAAAATAAGGTTTTAAATCCTTTTATTTCAAATGATTGAGCTGTCTGAATACAAGTAATAGCACAATTCAGAAAAAAAATGACTCTTGTTTAAAAAAAAATATATATACTATTCAAGAAATAAACCTGGTCACAAAACCACAGCAATAAACAGAACAAATCTGTCTAATGTGTATTCCTTTGATTGAAGATAAAAAAAAAAAAAAAAAAAAAAAAAAATTGGACTAGTTCAAAGTTTACTGTTAGCTGTTTGCTAATTTTGGGTGTACAGTAGTCCCTCGCTACTTCGTGGTTCGTTTTTTGCTGACTCGCTCTATTGCGGTTTTTCAAAATAATATTGGACATGACACACAAACGACTAGTTGATAGGTGAGCCGCACAAGAAACATGGAATTTTTATTTAAAATAAAATATGTAAAATTATTTAGCACCTGTGTGCAGCCACAGCTGCAGAAAAAGCTTATTTCTGCAGCGTGTCAAGTCAAGTCAAGTCACATTTATTTATATAGCACATTAAAAACTGTAACTGTTATCAAAGTGCTTACCAAAAAAGATCACAGCATCAAATATTAATAACAAGATATTACAGCAACATGAATAAAAGCATAAAAAAATGAAATATAATGAGAAACAATGAAATACTAAATCAAATCACACTCCGTTAATAATAATGTCATCACGTCAGCACTGTATGTTTCCATACAATGGCGAAATTAGTCTCTGCATTTAACCCATCCACCACCAGGTGGTGCAGTGGGCAGCTATTGAAAGCACCCGGGGGGGCATTTTGGGGATGAGGTGTGCTGCCCAGAGACACCACGCGGTATGCAGTGACTGGGGATCGAACCTGGGACTTACGGGTCCCAAGCCGGCTGCCCTGCCTCTACACCATCTCAGCCCACAGTTAAATGTCAGGGAGTAAAAGCAAAATGGATGAACACAATCATCAACAACAAAATACCAAATGAGATCACACTGTGTTAAATGCCAATGAGTACAGATGTGTTTTTGAGGAGAGATTTAAATATAGAGACTGAGGTGGCCTGTCGAATGTTGATGGGCAGATTATTCCAGAGTTTAGGGCCCATGACTGAAAACGCCCTATGTCCTCTGAGCTTCAGCCTGGTTTTTGGTACGGCCAAAAGCAGCTGGTCTGATGATCTCAAGGCCTGAGAAGGAGTATAAGGATGAAGGAAGTTGGAGAGGTATGAGGGTGCAAGGCCATTAACACACTTAAACGTCAGCAGAAGAATCTTAAAATCAGCTCTGACACGCACAGGAAGCCAGTGAAGGGAGGACAGAACTGGAGTAATGTGCTCAAACCTGCGAGTTCCTGTTAGTAGCCGAGCTGCAGCATTTTGGACAAGCTGGAGACGTGAGAGAGAGACCTGACTGACCCCAGCATAAAGCGAGTTACAGTAGTCCAGCCAGGTTGTAATAAATGCATGGACTAATTTTTCAAGGTCGGATCTGGACAGGACGGACTTGAGCTTAGCTATCTGCCTTAGCTGAAAGAAGCTTTTTTGAAGAACAGAATTTATCTGGTTATTAAACTTAAAGTCTGAGTCTGAAACTATCCCGAGATTGGTAACAGACTGTTTTAGATATGGCTGAAAGGAGTCCAGGTTTGCAGGATCAGTGACAGTGGCAGAGCTAGGGTTAAATACAATGACCTCAGTCTTCTGATCATTAAAACTCAAAAAGTTTGCAGCCATCCAAGTCTTGATGTCATCAAGACATTTTAACAAAGGGCGAATGGAGGAGGAACTGTTGGGTGTTAGCAGATAAATCTGAGAGTCATCAGCATAACAATGAAAGGAAAGACCATGTTTCCTCAGGATAGACCCTCAGGGGAGGAGATACAAAGAAAACAGAATGGGTTCAAGAATGGAGCCTTGCGGGACCCCGCAGGAAAGAGGCACTGTGTCAGTTCTTAGCTCTGCAGCAGAGAAGTGGGCATAGCCAAGAGCGTTGTCAGGTGACAGAGTGCAGCTGTAGGCAGAGCTGAAATCATGACATGCACCTCTTTTAGAGCGTTTAGAGTTTAGAAATGTTTAGAATATTGCAAAAGTGTGAGGAGGGTTTAAAATGAATTCATATATATATATATATATATATATATATATATATATATACTAAAATAAACTACTACTCACTACTTGTACTACTTGTACTACTTTTCCTACTTTGCGGTTTTTCACTTATCACGGGACTTCAGGTTACGGATCCCCCGCGATAAACGAGGGACTACTGCACCGAAAATGTATTTTTTATTGAATAGGCTCTTCTATATTGTTACACTTTGTTGATCTAATTAGTTAAATTTTGGTGCCACTTGAACTTATGGTTGTTGGGGATCAATTTTAGATGTAACGCAAATTTTAGCTCACATTTTGTGAAATTACGAATATATAACCCAATAGTGGTCACAGCTAACCAAAAAGTTAGCTTCACTAATCCATCCATCCATCCATTATCTTTACCTGTTTATTCCATTTTGGGTCACGGGGGTCGCCTGTGCCCATGTCCAGCAATCACTGTGCGAGGGGCGGGGTACACTCTGGACGGGTCGCAAGTCCATCACAGGGCCACATAGAGACAAACAACACAAACAACCATTCACTCTCTCACTCACACCTAGGGACAATTTAGAGTTACCAATCAGCCTAACATGCATGTTTTTGGTCTGTGGGAGGAAACCGGATTACCCGGAGAAAACCCTCGCATGCACGGAGAGAACATGCAAACTCCACCCAGAAAGGCCCCTGGACCGGGGTTTGAACCAGGGACCTGCTCGCTGTTAGGCAGCAGCTCTACCAGTTGCTCCACCGTGCTGCCCGCTTCACTAATCCCTATTCTAATAATTGAAAATTAGCTTTGCTAGCACTAAACTGCTAAATATGGAAAGAAATTAGTCTCTTGCTGCAGCAGTTAGAGATAGTTTGTGACTCAAACTTGACTCAATATTAAAATAAATTTTACATTTTTTTCTTGCAATTTCATTGATTTTGACTGTTTGTGAACAATGACCAGCAAGCTGTGTTTTGTCCAGTCAAATATAAAAAAATCATAGCTTATTTTTGTGTGCACTGATTACAAAAGTATAATCTAGACGTGCACATTTTTGACACCATTACACTTACATTGGTTAATACACAATGTTTGCACACACACCAACATGTGTCAATTAACAATGGAGTGAACTTTTGAAATAAATAAATAATAATAATAATAATAATAAAAAAAAACAGATTCAGACCAGTTTTCTAATAATTAATATTTTATATAGGAAGGATTTTTTTTTTTTTTTTTTAGTTCTGGACATATTTTCTGTGAGATGTCATAATACAGTTTGCTCCTTATTAATTTGAGTTTAAAATGACCAAAACAAAATCAAGATGGTTGTAAAATACTTGTGATAACCCTGAATATTTTGTGCCCAAAATTTGTGGCATAAATTATTTGAACATCTTCAATATTCAAGCAAGAAGAATTTGAGCCTGTGAGACTCAAGTAAGGAAAATGAAAATGTCTGTGAATGTCGTAAGACATCCTGGAGAGTCCTACGTAAATGCAGTTCACCAAGTCGTCGCCAGTTGCACACCAATATGCCTGTAAGAGGACAAAATATCCTTTGATAAATAGAAATCAGAATGTTAGAACATTTACTAATTTGAAGGTTAGTTTGTTAGTGAATGCATGTTAAAAGTATAGCATTGATTTTGCAGATGAAAAAATCTAAACTATTTTATTTTTATTATCATTATTATATTGTTATTATTCCCAGGACATCCTTGTAGAAGAGGTGAATAATCTCAATGTATTTTTTTTTCTTTTTAAAATAAAGGTTTAAATAAATAAATATTATTTCTTGAATGTGCATATTTGTTTTTCCCCAAAAACTTAAAACAAAAATCTGATGGAGAAAATAACGTCCCAAATATATATTTTTTTTCTGTCAGTACATTTTGTGTCCAATATAGTCTAGTGCACAACTAATCAACAAAACTTCTCAGGGGGCCACAGTTACTGAAAGCCAGCAGCTCAGGGGCCGGACATCCAGTAATTAAAGTCACTATGTTAATAAACCAAGTATTACAACGATCTGTTATCTTTTATATGTGTTTGTTTTATTACATTGCATTATAAATGCAATATTCAGAGCCAAAACCCAGAACTTAATAATAATAATAATATTAATAATAATAAGACAATAATAATAATAATAAAATAATAATAATAATAATAACTCATTGGTGGGCCGGTCTGAAGTCACCTGTGGGCTGGAAGCGGCCCGCGGGCTGCCAGTTGAGTAGATCTGGTCTAGTGTGTCCATGACAGCAGAGAAAAAAGGCAGGTGGACAGTTCAAAAATCAATTAAAATCTTCCTTACATGTTTGAAAGTAATGAGCCTGTCTTCATTTTGTTAAAGCACATAAACCATCTGCAATTTAGCGTTTTTTGGGGTAGCTTTTTTTTGCAAGCAGGCTGAAAATAGAATTTATCTAAAGTGCTGCGCCAGTTAGAATTCTCTGATTAATGATGTGTGTAATGAGTCTGTTCATGATTAGGACTCATTTGTAGCCTCACATGCTCTCTGAAATGTCAGCCTGATTGAAGTCCAACCTCTCGTGTGCAGTATCTTGATAGCCAATCAATAGTCCATCACAAGTCCACGGCAGCTCTCACATGCCATCAAGCTAAAAAGCATAAAGCAGCAGCCTGGCTCAGTGTTGCTTACCTAGCATTTTGTGAAGCATAGTTTTTTCAGGGTGTTATTAATCCACCTTTGGAAATCCACAGCTGCCAAGAGCAATTACTAGCTGACTCCATCATGGTGGATGCAGACAGGTGATTCATTGCAAGTCATTTATTTTTGACAACTCTTAACAGAGATTTGATTGCTTTCTGAAAATAATTTTGCAGCAAACTGCAATGCAACAGAGATGTTTACCAACAGAAGAGACAGAGCTAAAATGTTTCATATTAAGATTTTAACAATTAGTCCAAATGTGATTAAACCTACTGTGGAAAATAAAGTGCATAAGTGCTATGTGCTCACTACAGAAGGTTGTCAAGATGTCTCCTTCTTCTTGTGCCATTTTCTGACAGTTTGAACAGTGTTGATCTTGTTTGTGCGGCACAATGTTTCCATGTCTTGGATGCAGTAGATGGGATTATGAATTTTATTTAAAAAAAATGGTTGGCTGGTTGCTGTAAAGGAAAATGTTTGCCAGGCTGAACTTAAGCAATCAGACAAGACCGCTGGCAAATAAAAAAATGTTATGTGACTGTGGAGTAATGAGACCCTTTCCAGGGTGAGTGTTGCTGCACTGTCACTTCATTGCACCATTGCCTGACTGTAGCTTGCAACTTTGACTTTTAAATTTGAAGCCATGCTTAAAAATAGTAAACAGACTCTTGTATAGAATTTATCTTGGCTGCCTTGGGTGATTTGATTTCTACAAGCATTTTTTAAAAGCTTTGACCCACATCACTAGCCTACCTAATTCATAATTCATTGTGCATTGCTGTTATCCAAGCACAGTAACATCAAAGAGTATGGAAATAGCCACATCATTCCAATACACAACATTTACCATTTGTGTTAAAAGGATGGTTAATGCAGGACCAGTCTTCATACAGCAGACACACAATTGTGGAGCATTGCAAATCTTATATAACCTTGATTGGCTTACTCAAGATGGAACACCATGTAGGTTTCATACATTCATCCATCCACCCATTGTATTTACCTGCTTCTTCCTTTCTGGGTTGTATGGGAGCTGGTGCCTATCTCCAGATGTCAATGTGCGAGAGGCGGTGTACACACTGGAAAGGTCGCACGCCCATTGCAGGGACACCAGGAGACAAACGAGACAAACAACCATTCACTCTTTTACTTATACCTAAGAACAATGTCCACGTAAAACTTACCAAACATCTTTACAGCTTTTTGTCCAAGTCTTGCTGACAATGTTTGACTAAACACTAAAAGTAGGTAGTTTGAAACAAGCAGAACCAACCATACAGTATTTGAGTATTATAATTGTATTAGTTATATCAATTAAAATTGTATATTTTTGTTTTCTTTTGTACAAATGCATTTTCTTCTTTTAGCTGTACTCTCTTCAGGAATCCACCACAGCAAGTCATCATCCTCCATCTCAATCTGTCCTGTGCATACTCTGTCCTCACTCCATCTACCTCATGTCCTCACTAACTTCATCCTTAATGTATTTCTAACATGTTTTGACCAATATCCACTGTTCCTCCTCTGGACATGTCTAAACCATCTCAGCCTGGTGTTCTGATGCATGCTCAATAATCCAGACAGAAAAATCTAACAAGGTTGAATCAGGTCCTCTGGATGGATTTGTCTTCTTCTTTTATCCAAAAGACTTTGTCAGTCTGAGGATCTGCATGTAAACTCAGTCTTATAAGCAGTACCTTCTCATAGTGGATCAACCAGTTTGCTGGTGACAGCCAAAACTAGAAAATAGCGGCTCACCTACCATCAGCCTAATGGTTGATCGTTAGTGCCCTGATGGCTTCTTGCTATTCACAGAAGGTTGAGTAATACTTGCAATAACAGCATCGTAAGAGAGTTACAGTTTAATATGGAGACTTCCACACATTTAATGATGGACAAATTCTCTTCACAAAGATGGCCTCCTTTACTCCTCTCTCAAAGCATTGTTCCTCTCTATCAAGGATGTGACCATCTTCATCCCTGAATGAGTGGCCGCTGGCGTGGAGATGAATGTAAATCATAGATTCCTGGCCTGATGATGTTGCTCTTCTGTCATGGGTCATCCTTTTGATCAGTGGCTTTTTTATTTTTCCCTGATGTATAACTGATCACAGCCCTTATGGCACTGAACAGCATACACAATATTGCTCTGTACCAGGGGAGCAGATTTTTGGGACAAACTAGTCTTTATTGTAATTTATTTTTGGGTTTGAAATCCACTGGGACGTTATGTTTAGAAAACAAAATGTCTTAGTTTCTCCGAATCCCCCACAACATACGGAATTACCACTAGTCTGGGTTTGGGGTCCTCCTTTTCACCTGACGGCTGAATGGAGTCCTGCTCGTGTTTCTTATCTGTTTTTTTCTCTCTCTCTGGCTTCTCTAACGTATCCATCCTTGTCACTCCCAAGATGAACCTCAACAGCTTCAGTTTGCCACTTTGAGTTCTTCCTCCTGTCTTTTTATCAATGTCTTTAAATTATACAATATATCTGTTCTCACCACTGTCTTGTGAATCTTTCCTTTGACATTTGATGCCACCCTTTTCTCACAAATCACTCTTGAAACGTGTCTCCATCCTCTCCATCCTACATGAGCTCTTCATCTCTTTACCACACTTCACATTTTACATTGGCAGTTGACCCTAAGTACTTGAAGTCTTTGTGAGCTCTGCTCTTTGTGGCCTCATTGTTCCACCTGTCTCCCTTCTATTCACACATGTACTCTGTCTTGCTATAAACCACCTTTCATTCCTCTTCTCTCAAGTTCATACCGCCACCTCTCCTAAATTCTCTTCCACCTTTCCTTGTTCTCACCACAAATCACCAAGTCATCTTCAAGTATTATACCGGTAGTCCATGGGATGACTTGACCTCATCTGTTAGTCTATCAGTCACCTCCACCTTGAAGCTATCTGTCACTCCTACAACACATCTCACCACTGTCCTGCTGTCCTCATACATGTCCTGTACCAGTCTATCAAACTTCTCTGCCACTCCAGATGTCCTCATGCAATACCACACTTCCTCCCTTGGCACTCTGTAATATGTTTTTTCTAAATCCATAAAGACATAGTACATGTATTTTTGACCCTCTTTGTATACTTCTCTGTCAGTATCCTCAAAGGAAAGATGGCATCTGTGGTGCCAAGGAAGCATACCACAAATGCCATCTTTGTTTTGAGGATGCTGATAGAGAGGCATCATCAAAGCAAATACAGAAACAACACAATCAAAGGGAAGTAGTTTTTATGTTCTCAGGTTTAAACAAAGTTTGAATGGATATTTTTATTTACTCAAGACAACGGACTTGCGACCTTTCCAGAGTGTACCCCACCAATCACACAGTGACTGCTGGATATGGGCACTAGTGACCCCCGTGACTTGAAAAGGAAGAGGCGAGTAAAAGACAATGGATGGATGGAAGAATAGATGGATGGATGAAACTGGTTGTCTAATGTGCGGCGGCTGAGTGGTTAGAGCAGTCATCCTCCAATGCAAGAGTTGGGGGATCGAATCCACCAGCAGTCACATGCCGAAGTGTCCCTGGGCAAGACACTTAACCCCTCGTTGCCTCTGATGTGTGTCCCATCAGTGTATGAATGTGATAAAACACTGATTAGTCTCTTTAGAATGATTTGTTCAATTTGCTTTGTATAGATCTAGTAGAGTTCTGTATGAATGGGTAAATGAGGACACATATTGTAGTGTAAAGCACTTTGAGTATCTCAATAAGATAAAAAGGTGCTATATAAGTACAGTCCATTTACCATT